GCAGTTGATGTGACATCAGTAGTTTCATCAAGAGAAATCAAAAATATTTACAACTATTTAAGTCTTTTTTTAATTGATGTTGTACGTTTTTAAGATCTATTATTCTGTCTTTGACAGTATTTCTACTGAGTGGTAACTCAGAAATTCTTTTAATAATAACATCTATATTTTTCATATCGTGAAATAGAGCTTGTGCACATCTTAGAAATGTTTCCTTAAGAAATTCTCCGTCACTGAGGGCTTTTCCATGCTGAGCTATGGAGTGAGCAATACAGTAACTAGCTCATGTTAATTTGTAGAGCATCTTACAAATTTAATGATGGAATTTGATTGACTTTTATAGAGGTGTAGCTGCCTAGAAATGTATTCCTTCCTTTCATCAATACTTTTTTTCAAGAGCTGACAATTATTAGTTTCAAAATGTTTCTTTACATTCCACGTTCTGCTTACTACCGGTTTTTTTTTGGGGGGGGGTGGCCTTTGGAATTGTCTTTATTTCTGATCATTCCTTTACAACCATACACCTCAGCAGTAACTCCCACGCATGCAGCTGGAGCGAAACTCCCCCCACCCCCCAAGCTAATCAGATTCTTATTTCTGATTCTAGGACACTTGCCCCATGAGGTCCCATGAACTCCCCAACATTTGCCCCTGTAATCGTGGACCTGGGCTTAGTCCCTTCCTTTCCCCGTTCACAGGAGCATTAATCTGGAACGTGGGTTCCCCCTGCATAATGCACCGTGTTCTATATTACAGCTTCCGAGGGCCCAGAACAAAGCTTTTGCTGAGTGATCCCACCTAGCCGGGTCATTACAGGGGCACAGCATGGCTACACGTCATGAAAATGCCACGTCATAAACGTTAGTGTTGCCACATGTGTGACAGCACTTGCCGCAAAGATAGATGGTCCTGGTCTGTCCTAACTCGCTCAGTATCGCCTTGAGCTCAGCCCGGATCTGGGCAAGTCTCTCCTGGTTGAGGATCCCCCGGATCCTGTAACACTCCAGGGGGACGGGGTACAGCTCGAGCTCTAAGCTGCGCAGCCCGGCTGTGTGGCGCAGCAGCTTCTCCACGGTGGCCACGCAAAAGTTGTTCATAGAGATGGTGAAGTCCCTGAGCTGCTGACAGCGGCTCAGGACAGGTAGGATGGCCTCGACTTGGGAGTCCACCATCCCACAGTTATCCAGGCGCAGGTCCTGGAGGGTGGGTGCCACTGCCTCCAGCAGAGCTCGGAGGGGCTCAAGACTAAAATCCGCGAGGCTGAGGCGAAACAGATGCAGGGACTTCAGCTGCCTGAGGTTCGGGCACTGGGACAGGTGTGTCAGGTCTGAATGCGTCAGCCGCTGGCAATTTTCTATGGAGAGTTTGTCCAAGGGGGTCTGCTGCA